TAAAAACAAGCACATGTATGAGTTTAATGGTAAGACAGTCCAGAGTCAAGATTCACAGTAAAGAAATCTCCAACTAGAAAGGGAACAGGTTTTCTATCTCATGAGTATGACGTGATGCGTTGGTGAAGTTACATAGTTAGAGGTATCATACACCCAAAGAAAATAGCAAATGCACATTTGCCGAAGTTAACACAAAGTGAGCACTTCAATTTCATCTAGAACTCATCACAAGAGAATAAGACATAGAAGCCAACATAAAGACAATCAGACTCTGATAATGTACAAGATGCCAATATAAGATGAAGGGTCCCAATTCGAAACATCGATTTTTCTGCTCCTCTGATGCTGCCTGACCTGCTGTGTTTCTCCAGCTCCACACTGTACTGACACTGACTTCCAGCATCTGCAGTTCTTGCTATCACCCATTTAGTTTACACTGAGTGCAGGGTACTACTGTACCAGAGGAGTTAGAAGTCAGTGCTGGCAACAGCTGCCCAGAGGCTTGTGAGAGCCACTTAAATTTCTGGAGCCAGTGTTCTTAAAAAGACAGCCCAGCATATGGCTGACTCATGCTTCAGTTCTTAGTGCCCATTCACTTTGTGCTTACTTGGAGGGTGCCAGCCCCTGCAGCATGCACTGCCTCTTAGCACTGATGGAGAGGTGGGCAGCTTGTCATGGTTCGGAGCACTGAACAGTCAAGGTGTTGGACACGTCACTGAAGACTCCCCTGAAGACCTCCTGTCATGGTGTCCTGGGATTGAGATGACTAGCCTCCAATAACTGGGCCATCTCTCTTTGTGCCTGGTATGAATTCGGGCAGGGAAGGGTTTGCTAATCCCAATACCCAGCAAACTTCAATTTTATTAGGGCTTCAGGATGCCATGCTCAGACAATGCTACCATGATGTCAAGGGCAGTCACACTTAGTTCACCTCTGGGATATAGCTCTGTTGTCTAAGATTGGGCCAATGTTTGCAGCCAAATAGGCCTGGTGGAGCCCATGACAGGTTAATCCTGCATAAGTGTTACTCAAATGCCACTATTGATGACATCATCCATCACTTAGCTGATAATCAAAACTAAACTGATGGGGTAGTAATCAGCCGGGTTGGATTTGTCCCGCTTCTTATGGACAGGATACACATCGGCTATTTTTCACAAAGTTGGGTAGATCCCAGTGTTGCAACTGTACTGGAACACTTTGACTAGGGGAATGGCTAATCCTGGAGTAAAAATCTTCAGTACTTTTTGATTATGGTCACAGCCCACAGCATTTGCTCTGTCCAGTGCTTTTAACATTTCTTAATACAATGCGGAATTAATCAAATTGTCTGACTGGCAACTGTGATGGTGCCAACCTCAGGAGAAAGCCGAAATGAATCATCCACTCAGCACTTTTGGCTGAAGTTGGTTGCAAATGTTCAGCCTCATCTTTTGCAATGACATGCTGGGCTCTCCATCACTGAGGATGGAGATGCTTGTGGAAAATCCTCCTCCTGTTAGCTGTTTAAATGTCCAACACCTCAAGACTGGATGTGGCAGGACTACAGGTCTTTGATTTGTTTCACTGGTTGTGGGATCGTTTAACTTTGTTAATCATGTGCTGTTTCCACCTTTTTGCATGGATTAAAAGGTTTCACGCTGTACTGCAGCTAAACCTAATATTGTTTTCACTCAATAACTGTTTATGCATATTTACCAACACACTTTATTCAACATTAAAAAGAATCCACATTAATCTGTCCCAGGGATCAAGCTTGGAACATCCTTGATCTACATGGTCCAGTACTGTGCCACTTCCTGAGAAATTCAGGAAAAATGTGACTCTTTAATTTTAAATAACTAACTTCAGGTCCACAAGGCATGAAGTGAGATCCCAAGTTTTAAAAAAAAGGAACTATGCTTTCATTTAACTTTTAAAATAGAGTCTTGTTGAATTTAAAGTGGCTGGTGGCAAACACAGAATGAGCCAGTTGGCTGCTTTTAGGAACTTTCAGCAACTCTAAAGAAAAAAGCTAACTCTTTGTCTTTCTGATATGACACATCTCCCATACTTTTATGAACATTAAACCCTACACAAAGGAACAACCGACAGTGGACAGAATTTTCCCATGAGCAGTGTTAGCAATGGCAAGAAAGTTGAGAAGATGTGGAGAATTTTTTTTAAAAAGTCAAATGATCATAATCAAAACAAAAAAATGCAAGTTTCCCCTTTAGATGTCAATGTTGGAATCTCATTAATGAGCAGTGACTACCTTATTTCATATTGTCATTAGCTGAAGTTACCTTATTTCTTTGTAGTTCCTAATTCCCCCCTCCTTCCCTGAGAAACCAGACAGTACCAATTCCCAACATGAAGGTCAGAGCAGTAACCTGGCAGCAGCAGGTAAACACTAATTTCTCCAGGCTTTCGTCCAACTCTGTTCTCACTCACAATGTCCCTGCATGCCCCACAGATATTGTCAACTTCCACCCTTCATTCTCACAAATCACCATCAGCCAACCTCGATCCTCAGCCCGATCTCAAACCAACTTCACACCACATCAGGAGTTCACTCAGGGATACTTAGAACAGGTGCTTTTTCACTTTGCATGCAGCAAGATGCACACATTTAATGTATTTAGGAATGTTACATCTTCCAACTCTTAGCTTCTGTTCTTACTGCCACTCACCTTCTGCTTACTTGGAGGCTGCCAGCCCCTTGCATTGCTTTTTAGCACTGAGGGGTAGGTGGGCAGCTTGTCATGTTCAGACCACTGATCAATCAAGGGGTTGAACATGTCATTGTTCAGTGCTGTGTTTCAACAATGTCTCACCTATAGAACGTGCCAGCAGCTTCCACAGTGAACATGCTACACATGCTTTAAGCAAATAGCCCTGTGTGAAAGTGATAGAAGCTGTCCTTAGTAGAATAATTCCAGACCAGAGGGTTAGCTATGGACAGCCAGGTATTTGGGCCTGTGGCTGTGGATTTATGTCTCTGCAGTCAACAATTGGTCCTGCAGGTCAAATGCAACCAGTTCAGGGATTATAAACTGGATGCTGTAAAAATTGGACTCCACAAACAGAGGGTTTAGGAGAACATACCACAGCCTATTTTGAAACAGAAAAATAAAACAAAAAAAAGTTATATTTTTCACAAACAGAAAGGGAGTATCATAAAATTAACTCAAAGGTGATGTGGATAGAGAAGTGCTAAGAGATCTTATACAAAAACTGGAAAACATCCTGCTGTACACAGACCACAACCCTTTAGACAATTTCCAGAAAAAATGAAAGCCAGCTTGTTACACTGCAGTTTGCTCCAGCAGGCATTTAACCTAAAAGAAATTCACATCAGCTGATACCCAATCCTTTTTGATAGTATGAGAAGCATCACCCAACTACCTAATTCAAAATTCATTTTCGATTTAGTCAGGTCTGTTTTAATTTATGTTAATACTTTCAACTTCTCCATTTAACTACATCGCCCTGGAATTTGATACCTATCTTCTAATCTATGTTGGGAAAATTTTTGCTCCTTCCTTGAAAAACCTTTTAATTTCATATTTATTCAGCATTTTCCACTTCTGTAGCCATCACTCTAAAGTCAGGTTTTCTGAACCTGCTACCCTTTTTAATGATAACTGATATTCAGGTGTCACCCATGTCTAGATTTCCCCCAATCTCGGTTAAGTTCCAGATACTGAACCATATGCAGCCTGTTCTTTACCAATGAGAACAAGGAATAAATGTTGTAATAAGGGCACCTTTTAAAAGTTCAACTGTCATTTAGGATTACAATTATTTGAATGCCAGTTTACATTCCTTGTCTATTTCTGTTAATTTGTTTGACTGTAATTGTTTAAGAATTTAATCCTGATGACAAGATCAGCTGTATCGCAGCAGATTACCTTATGATTCTGACAGTCTGCTGAAGCTCAATTAACATCAGTTAATATCATTACAGACCCAGCATGTTACAGCATCAGATAGGTGTGTGTTTTATTTTGAAGTATGTATGAGTGAAAGGGAGGATAAATGGAGGAGTGAGTGGGTGAATGAGAATGAGTGAATGAGTAGAAAGTGAGTGTGAGGGTAAATGAATGAGTGAGAGGTAATCAAATTTGAATGAGTGAGAGGATAAACATGTGAGATTAGGAAAATATGTTATTGGTCACAAAAATTCAGTCCTTCTCTTGATGTTATCAGTATATATTATTTAAACAAGTTTGTTTTTCCAAATAGCACCATAGAAAAACATTGGTTCCTAGTTAATTACTTTTTATACCTGTGAATTTTGGAAATGATCTCAATTATGGAAGCTCTCCTTTAAAGTTGATAAATTACTCCATAAGTATAACAGGTAGTTTCTCAAAAATGTTTTCCGTAGTACTAGGGGCATACAACGATTTAAAGCAAACAATTACAATCCAAATGATTCAGCCAATCTCCATGAACCTAACTCTTTGATTGCCTTAGCCACTTGTTCAGCTATTTGATTACTTTGTGAAGTTTTGAGAAGTTTATTAGGTTAATGGCTCCAGACAAGTGTAAGATTGAAATGGGTTAACACTATGGCTAAAGTAGCAGAGAAAGGAATTACACATGAACGTGTTAATGACCCTAACATTAATATCTCATATTGTAATTTCAAGGCTCATGTTCTTGAGGTGCCCCATGTTGCTCATTGATTAAGACTGAAAATTCATTCCTGAACCTTTGCAAGTACCATTCTATTTTAAATTCTCTAAGAAGCATACTATATTGGCCATCTCCCCATCCAGTATTCCAAAAAGAATACTCCCTCTTCTACCTCACTAAAGTAGAAAAGTCCTTTGGTCCTCAATAAATTGGAACTAAATATTTGGAGATCCCATAGCAGGCAAAATCAAAACCTGGTGAAAGTGTAGGCACACTGTGCTGTATTATCATATATAAACTGTGACAAAGTACATCAGAAAGCGCCCATCCATTAATTTTGTCATACTATGAAGCTGAAATAAAATGCAGCTGCTTACATTTTGAATTTTGTGATTTGAAGGTGTGTTCTTAAAATTTTCAATATCAAGTAGAAACTGAGAATCCACGCACTTATATCGGCTGTTTAGTAAGATGTTGCGTAGTTTCTGATATTGTGGCTTTTCTTCATATTTCAGAGTGCTCACATAAGAGAAATAGTTGATTATTTCACCTGTAAGACCATTCAAGGATACAAATTAGGAAAACAAATATCTGATTTAACAGGTGCATGTAATGATTAGTACTATCCATTTATTCTGGTAGTGAATTCTCCTGCCAAACTGAAACGTGGCAGTATATTTTCCATGATGAGTTTATATCACTGTCAGCACAATTAGGAAGATTTTAGTATTTACATTCATACCCAAGAATAAGTGCTGCTAACCTTACCACATTTAGTAATTCAATGAAAAGCGATCGTCAATGCCTTAGAGAATCACATGAATAAGACTAGTCAGCCCAAGACTGTGCCATGACATCTGATTCAATGCAATAACAAAAAGATATTAAACATACAAATAATTGATCACGAGTTGAAACTAACAGGGGACTGGGCTCCTAAATCTTTTGCACCTGCATCTAATTTACAGAAATATTCTAAATTGTGAGCAAGGGATTTAAAAGCAGCTTCGACTCAAAACTGCCAAATGTCAAATCTAAAACTCCACAGCATCGTAAATATGAAAAATAAATAAACCAAGAAAACATATTCTAAAAATAATGGCATAGGAATATCATGATTCTTTTAATCCAATGCAACCAAGCATTTGTTTCTTTTGTATCTGTGATGTTAAGCAGCATTTTGTTCAGCAATTTATCTTGCAACGGCTTCTCTATATTTTTGACAGGCCATGTCCTGTATACTATATGCTTGTAAGTAAAATACTTCTGCTGACCACAACACGTGCTTTCAGAAAACCGTTCTGTTAGTAAAACACTCTGTTGTTGTCGTCAGTACTAAAAACTTTGAGTTGCAACCATTACGTTTTCTCTGTATCCATCGTTGTAAACATTTCTCAGCCGGACACACACAAAAACTGATCATAATGGCAAGTGACCTTTCAGCTCACTGTGATTATAATTAAAATGGAGTTGCTCCTTAACAATAATATAGCAATATCATCATCTTGTGTGGGCATAACTGGCCCTGAGGTACTCATTACTAGACCAAGTGAAGCAAGGGATGGTAATGAGCACCTCAGGGCCAGTAATGACCATAATCCTTGAACAAAATGATGTTATCACTATTATCAATCTATGTGGCCTTATTCTGTCTTCTATACTTGTAACAATGCTATTTTTCACAATTTTTGCATTCCAAAGGCATTTAGTTATAATTCTTAGCACTTCAATAGTACAGACCATAACTTCTATCAGCGATCCATAGCGATCCATTTAAATCACAGTGACTCACTAGTACTTGTCACAGATTTTCAAATGCTGTCATTGTATTGCAGCATATAAAAAGACCCTGATTTTCACCATGATGGAAAACATCTCCACCATGGCAAAAATGCTAGAAGTCTGGAAAGCCAAGACCTGCACCGAAACCTGCCATTTCTCACATTTGCAAGGGCATGCTGTGCTTCATGTGTGCCTGGTACGTGAAGGCTGCTGACCATTTCAAATATCCGTGTAGAGATTAAGCCAGGTAACAGTAGATCTGTTCTCAGTACTTTTAAAATGCCAAGATAACGGAGACATCAAAGCAGATTTCCGAGAATAACTGTTGCAAAGTTGGGTAGAGTATTTGTGGATTGGAAGGCAAGACGATAGAATTTGATGCTTGTAAAATGATAGCAGGGGAAGAGTGCGTGGTCCAGACTTAGAGATTTTTTTTTTAAAATGTGCAGCTGCACAGAGAGTTCCTGAACTTTGTATCAGGGGCTGTGTGGTTAGCAACCCAGTCAGTAGTTTGTTCAGGCAACCAGTTTGAATATCAACCAATTAATTTAAACCAGGCACTTAGAGACTAAAAAACCAATTAAATTTAAATCTGATGGTGTTGACAACCTAGGACCAATCCTATTGTAAGAAACTGATATATCATCAAGGGTGTAAAGGAAGAGATTATTTGAAAATCGGTGTGAGAGCAACTGCCATCTACTAGAGTTAACAACCCATCAGCTCTAAAGAGACAATCACTGGCTTTCACAGAATTCTCTAAGCTCTCAGAATAACCATCATCTAACTAAAGGTATAGCGGCACTCTTGGCTAATATTCCTGACACAAGAAGTCGATGGAGAGAGGTGTTCCTTACATACGAAATTCAACAGAGAAAGATGTTCCTGACTGAGGATCAGTGGAGAGAGCACGGAGCATTCCGGAAGACATATCGCTGGCTGCAATTTCAAGGGATTAAGCTTTTACTTTTTTTTTAAATTTTGGTTTATATAAGTGAGACTTTTTTATTGGAACAGCATATCATTAGAGTTCCGCTTTATTTGGGAATCGTTAGTAGGTAAGCGGAAACTGTTTAGTTTGTTAGTAATTCTGTTAATTTTATCATTGATTGAGTTAGATATAGAGTGACTGTCGGGAGGTCACTTCATTTAACTCCCCTTTATAGCTGATTTGGGGGCGGTGCAGGTGAGAGGCAAGTTATACCACTTTTCACACTTCTTTTAACAGATTATGAGACTAAGCGAGCCTTCCTGGAAGTTTCCGTTTAAGTTATTCAGGGAGTGGTTGACCTCCCCTTCATTAGAAACTGGGGGCTCAAGTCCGGGATCTGGCCAGTTCATTTACAGGATCTGAACAGATCTGAAAGGATCTGGACAGATTCGGGGTACAAAAGGACCCAGCAGATATAAACAGACTTGGGGATTAGCGCCCTAGATCTTTAAGTGAAACTTAGGTGAGCAGTGAAAAACCTGTTAATTTCAGTTACTTGTGGTTGGTTAAATCAAAAGTGGGATAATATGGCTCTTAACATTGCTAAAGAGGTTCTGGGGTTTGAAGATGCTTCCTAAATTTGCCAAGAAAGACAGAGGAAGGATATACTTTTAGACTGATCAAACAGGCTAGAATTGGGTTTAACTAGGGATAAGAAGAAAGCTGACACTGTAACAGAGTTGGTCAAGCATTTAGGTATATCAGAGAAACAGGTAAGTGCAATGGAGTTAGAAAAAATTAAATTAAAAATTAGACAATTGGAGTTAGAAAGGGAAAAAGACAGAAGAAAGGGAACTGAAATAGTTTGAATTACGGTTACAAGCAGAGGAAAGACAAAAAGAAAGACAGAGAAGAATGGAGGAAAGAGAGAGAGTTTGAAATTCAGACGTTGCAAATTAAACAGGAAAGTCAAGTCAAAAGGATGGAGATGAAGTTCGAAGATAGGCTTAGTGAGGAGGAGAGTGATGATGAGCAAACCTATTGTAGCCAAAGACCTGCTAGAGATATATACAAGTAAGTCAAAACCTTACCAAAATTCGATGAAAAAGATATAGAAGCCTTTTTCATTTCCTTTGAGAAGTTGGCTAAACAAATGAATTTGCCAGAGATTGTGTGGGTAATGTTAATTCAGACCAAGTTGGTAGGCAGGGCTAGTGAGGTGTTTGCAGTGCTGTCAGAGGAAATATCAGGAGACTAAAGAGGGAGTAAAACAGGCTGTTTTGAGTGCTGACGAATTGGTACCAGAAGCATACAGACAGTGGTTCAGAAATGTAAAAAAGGAACCAGGTCAGACTTATATTGAGTTTGATAGAATTAAACAGAGCAACTTTGATAGATGGTTGAGAGCATTAAAGGTAGAAACGACATATGAGGATCTTAGAGAGATTATTTTGCTGGTGGAGTTTAAAAACTCACTTCTAGAAATGATAAGAAGAGCTGCCGAGATGGCGGATGAATACACATTAGTGCATAAATTGAAATCTAGCTTCCGACAGCAATTTCATTCAATGAGGAATAGAAGTTGGGAAAATGGGAGATCCTTCAATGAAAAACAAAAAAATTGATCTCACAGTTTATCACATGTGAAAAAAGAAACTCAAGAGGGTGAAAAAGTGGTGAAAGGTCTCAGGTGTTTTCACTGCAGCAAAGTGGACGCACAAACTCACAGTACTGGTGGTTTAAGAAAGGCACTGGGAAGAAGGATGTGGAATTAGTTGAGGTAGCGAAGGAAATCACAAGAGAAGTCAAGGAGCTGTAGGAGAGTGCACAGCCCATTCATGGGCTGGAAAGTAAAATAGTGCCCGATCTCTTCAAAGACTTCACCTGTATGGGTAAGGTTTACTCAGGTAGAACAGGGGGAGAAGGTAAAGGAGTTAAAATATTGAGAGATACAGGAGCTGGTCAGTCTCTAATAGTAAGAGATGAAAGTATTTGCACTCCTTCTGAAATGTTGCTCGAGAGAGAGTGATAGCCGGTGGAATAAATGGAGAGATTTACCATTCCCCTGTGTAAGATAAGGCTAGAAAGTCCAATCAAGACTGGGGAAGTGACAGTGGGAGTCTTTATTCCAGGAATACAGTTTGCTCCTGGAAATGACCTGGCCAGATCAAAGGTGGGAGTGATGCCCCTTGTAGTGGAGAAGGCGAAAGAAAACCAGGGAACTGAAGAGTTAACAGAAAAATACCCTCGAATTTTTCCAGACTGTGTGGCAAGATCCCACAGTTATTGGTTAAAGCAAGAAGGGAACACCAAAGAGAAAGACAAAAGATTTGAAGTCCAATTAGCTGACATCCAGTTTCATGAAATGGTAAAGGAAAAACCTAAGCAGGTAGAGGATCAGGCAGAGGTGCTTAGTTCTGAAAGAGTTCTGGAGTTATAACAAAAAGGTGAAATGATAAAAGATTTATATCATAAAGCATACACAGAAAAGGAATCAGAATGTATTCCAGAATGTTATTACTTTAAGGATAAAATCTTAAGACAGAAATGGAGACATCACGTGAGGGGATATGGGCAGAGGTTCACCAGATTGTGTTGCCTGTAGCATACAGACAGGAAGTATTGAGGGTAGTGCACAAATTACCTGTAGGAGGTCATCTAGGAGTGAGGAAGACTGAGGTTAACTTACCAAAACATTTCTATTGGCCTGGATTACATAAAAATGTGGTTGAATTTTGCCATACCTGTTACACATGTCAGATGGTAGGACAGCCACAGAGGGTAATAAAACCAGCACCTTTGATTCCAATTCCCAAATTTGAAGGACCTTTTACATG